GCGATCGAAGGCAGGGGGTTTGGAGCCAGGGAAGCCGGGCCAGGAGTGGGGTTTGATATTTCATCTCCCGCTCCCTGCCGAGCCCCGGCCCATCAAACATTCATGGGGGCGGCCGTGCCGTAACGCAATGCCGGGGGGCCTGAGAGCCCCGCAGGGGGGATTTCTGGGTGCACGTGGGGGAGGGATCTGGCAACACCCAGGAAAGTCTGGAAAATGACCCACCATCTCTCATCCCCTCCCCGATTCTTTAACTAGAATTAATTGTTCATTACCACAATTACACTGTTAACACTGAACGTGAGATTTCCCACAAAGAGGTTTCAGGCCTTGAAATGCCCCAAAGGGGTTAAAGCTGGTGGTGAGGGGCTGCAGAGCCAGGGCCAGGCCCCCCTCCCGCTGCCACGTGCCTCCAGCGGTGCTCTGGTCTGTTTTGTGCTCCTGCAGGTCGGGCTTGGGAAGAAATTTGGATGAGGGGAGTGGAGGGCAGTGGCCGATCTGGGAAACGCCACCATTGTCAACACAACCCTCCTTCCAGAGGTGATAAATTTCAGGGGATTTTGCTAAGGAAGGAGCCACCCTGAGGATTACAAACCATTTATTTATTAAAGATTAACAAAGGCACAAACACAGCCCTGGGGCTGGGAACAGGCTGCTCCCAGGGTCCAACCTCTTTCCCTACACTGCTGGGACCCCAAATGCTTGGATTTTGGGACCCCAGGGTCCAACAACTCTCTCCGCACTGCTGGGACCCCGAACACTTGGATTTCGGACCTCCAGGGGTCCAATCTCGCTCCCTGCACCACCAGGACCCCAAACACTTGGATATCGGCCCCGGGATTCGGGATGGCAGCGGTGGATTCCTGCTGCCATCTAGCGGGATGAGGTCTGCCCCAGCATCTCCTCAGGCAACAACGAACTCAACAGCTTCAGAACACAACAGAACCGGGAAGTTTTCCCCTGTAACTTTTCCTCCTGTCATGAACCAGAACTCGGATTTGTGGGAGTGAATCCCCACTCCTCACTCAGCTGCAAGCCTCTCGAGCTCATCCATGTCGTATGGGTCCAGCTGCTTGATCGTGGTCTCTGTAGGAAGGAAAGAGCTGTTGTCAGGAGGTGAGAGCAGAGCTTGTGCCCCCTCAGCTGGTGCCCTGTGCCACCTGGGAAGCTCCTGGAGTGCTCGCTGCAGCATCTCCCTCCACTGGAAAATCAGCCAGGAGGAAGTGGGGAGGGAACTGGATCAGTGGGGAAATCAGCTGGGAGGAGGCCCGAGGGGAACAGAGTCAGGGCAGCAGCCGAGGCACGGCAGCAAGAGCGAGAGGTGGCCCTGCAGCAGCAGCACACCAGGCTCAGCCTGTGGATGTGCTCCCGCTCCCTGCTCCCACCTCCGGAGCCACACGGGACAGGGAAGGTTCGTGTCCTCGAATCCCAACATCATGACGTGAAAAAGCACAAGTCAGATCGCCAGGAGTCCATCCCATTTGATTTTCATCCTCACACTGCGCTCCTTTGGCTCGTTCTGGCCATGGCTGTGGTCAGGCTCATCCACATCCCAGTTATTCCAGCTGCTCATTGCTTCTACTGCTTGGGAACAACCTTCGTCGGACTATTTGGCTCGTGTATTCCCTGCCTGGTGTCCACCACAGGCTCGCTTGGTGTTTAAAGGACAAGTGGAAATTTAAAGGAACCAAGAGGGTTGAGCAGCTCCAAGGACGGAGCTGAGGAAGGAACAGCACTTTCTGCCCTCCAAAAGGTTTCCATAACTCTTTTTTTCCCCTAAAAATCACAGGGACATCAGGCACCGGGATTCAAAAAGCAATTGGTACAGTCACAGCATCTGGCAAATCCCATGAAAATCCTCTTGATGTTGACAAGTGACAATCTATTTCCACTCAGGAAAGATTTCCACAGCTGCCAGCTCCTGTCCCAGAGCCAGGGCTGAGCTGAGCTGCAGCACCAGGTCCCCTGGGACAAGGATTTGCAGGGAAAGGCAGAAAAAATGCCTGAAGGAGGGGAAAAATAGGAGGTTCTAAGGCATCCTGGGTGTTAGCAACATCCCCTGTGAGTTGCACACAATCTGTGGGGCTGTTTCTCGGAAAATTTGGCTGCTGGGGGGCAAAAAATCACCCTAAAAGCTGCATCTATCACCTGTTCCCAGTGGGATGAGCCCTGGGCAGAGGAGCAGCCCCGCAAGGTTCGAGGGGGAGGATGACAGTCCCAGCCCAGCCTCCCAGAGCGGTGGATCCACATGGATACTCACGGAAATGCTCCTCTATCTTGTGCACGAGCTCCACAGTCTCGTTCTCCACCATGCTGAAGGCGATGCCGCGGTGCCCGAAGCGTCCCGCCCTCCCAATCCGGTGCAGGTAGGTCTCAAAATCCGGCTCTCCATCCAAATCCCTGGGGAGGCCGAAGTTCACCACGGTGGTGACCTGTTGCACATCGATCCCTGGAAGAAAGGGAAAGGGGCTGTGGAAAGGGATCGCCTCGTCCCACGGCATCCACGCGGAAGAACCGCAGGCCTGGTGTGTTTCGAGGGATGCTGGGTTTCCCAGGATACCTCTGGCACAGACATTGGTGGCGATGAGGACCTTCTCCTTGCCCTCACGGAAGCGCTGGATGACGCTGGCCCGCTGGACCACCGTCAGCTCTGCCGTCAGCGTGGCCACTTGGTGCCCGTCCCGGCTCATCTTCTCCGACAGCCAGTCCGCGAGCCTCCGGGTCTGGGCATGCGGGGAGAGGCTGAGTCACAGAACTGCCCCCCCTCCCAAATCCCCTGCTCCTTTTGAGGGAGCTCCCAGTGAATTTCAACACCCCCCTGGGGTCTTGTTTTGGGGATCTTGTCCCCCCATCTCCACACCATAGAAGGACCCATTCCTGCCATCCCCAAGGGCCAGCGTGGGGCTCTCCTGGGCAGGGGCATTACCTGGCAGAAGATCATGACCTGGCCGATGGTGAAGCTGCCGTAGAGGTTGCAGAGGGCCTTGTACTGCTCTTCTGAGTTCTGGCACACCATGAAGTACTGCCTGATGTTGCTCAGTGTGAGCTCCTCCTCGCGCAGCTTGATCACGATGGGGTCGGGGATGATCCGCTCAGCAAAGGCCCGCACGGGTTCCTTGAAGGTGGCCGAGAACAGCAGCACTTGGCAGTTCTTGGGAAGAGCCCTGTGACAGGAGAGAGGCCTCTTCAGTCCCAGTGAGTGGCTTCTGTCCAGGAGGACATAAACTCTAAGCTGATTTTGTGTGGCCTGTGATGGAAAGGGAAGCCAAGGGGGCTTACAAAGAAGATGGACAGAGACTTTTTACAAGAGTGACAGGACAAGGGAGAATGGCTTCACACTGAAAGTGAAGAAGTTTAGATTGGATATGAGGAGGAAGTTCTTTGCTGTGAGGGTGGTGAGGCATTGGAACAGGTTGCCCAGAGAAGCTATGGCTGCCCCATTCCTGGAAGTGTCCAAGGCCAGCTTGGATGGGACTTGAAGCAAGCTGGTCTAGTGGAAGACACTGTGCCCCTGGCAGCGGGATTGGAATGAGATGGGCTTTAAGGTTCCTTCCAACCCAGGCCATTCCACGATTCTCCAAGCTGCAACAGCTCAAAGGAAAGGTAAGGAAGGTAAAAGTCTTGCCATGTGTCCAGCAGATGTGGTTTTAGGGGAAGCTGGACCCCTCTACAAGCCCCCTCAGCACCATGTCTGAAAGCAGGGAAGGGGGATGCCAGCCATCAGGGACACTCACCTGTGGATGCGGATGCTCTGGCAGGAGAGGCCCTGCGTGTCGATCATGATGTCGGCCTCATCCAGCACGAACAAGGAGATCTTCGTCAGGTCCAGGATGCGGTGCTTGAAGCACCAGTCCAGCGTGGTGCCCGGCGTCCCGATGATGATCTGCTCCTCCAGGACCGTGCCCTTCGGAACTGCGAGAGGGAAAAACGCACCTGGCTGCCTCCAGGCACGGAGCTCTCTGCTGCTCCCCTCGGCTCAGTCAGACTCTGGCTGCTCAGTGATGCCTTCCAGGGGTCATCACGACACTTCCCTGCAGCCTTTGGGGTGGGAACCAGCCCTATGTGGGAAGGGGGAGTCTGGAAGCAGCCAGAGATGGTGGAAAAGCCTCCTCAGCAGGCTTTATTGGCCTTCATGGAGATCTGGCTGGTCCCTGGTAGCTCCAGGCTCTAAGAGGGGATCCCCGTGCTCCCTTCCCACTCCTGGGGCAGTCCCAGTAGCTGTGCTGGGCTGGACTCACTTCGGTTTCCCCGGACAGCGTAGTTCACCTTGATGTCAGTGCAAAACTTCCCAATGGCCCGGACCACCTGTCCGATCTGCAGGGCCAGCTCGTAGGTGGGAGCCAGGCAGAGGCACTGGTGGGAGAGGAGAGAAGAGGAGGGAGCTGTCAGGCCCGGGATGGGACACACTGGGCTGGCAACGAGGGCAGGGACAGCAAGAGGAGCACAGCAGCATTGCACAGCACTGAGGCACAGGTGATTGGGCAGCTGGCATGGCTGGAGGTCTGGGAGCTGGGCTGTGTTCCCAGCTCCAGCCATGGGGGCAGAAAGAAGCCACTGTTGCTGTTTCTGAGGAGGAAATTCCCCTCTGGAAGCACAGTGCAGCTCATTCCTGCGCCCTGGTTCAGTCATCACATGCATGTGAGAGAAGATGTTACACGGCAGGAACCAGCAGGCAAAGCTGATTCTGCACCCAGAGAGGGGACTTGGGGGCATTTGAGCCACCAGAAAACCAGCAGTGTCTGCAGCTGCTCCTCAAAATTTAAATTCCAGGGCAAATGAAGCCTGGATTGATCCGCCCTGGCAAGTCAAAGTGCCTCCCTGGGGCAGGCACTGTGCTTTCAGTCCTACCTGCCACTGTGACAGCCCCTGGGGGTTTGTCATCCCCCTCCAGTGGGTGAAGTCACACAGGGACGGGGACAAAGCCCGGAGCTCTGGCCTTGGCAGTGTTCCAGGCACTTGGGCCAACCCCTCCTGCATCAGCTCTCCCTGTCCTGCGTTACCTGCGGGTATTTCTCGTTGGCATTGGCTCTGCTCAGCATGGCCAAGACAAAAGCTGCTGTTTTCCCTGTCCCTGACTGGCTCTGGGCAATCAGATTTTGGGGCCTGCAAGGCAAAAGCAGCTTAGTGGAGCACAGGGGTCAGAGCACTGGGATGCCACTCGGAGCCGGGGTTCTCATTCCTACTCACGGGTA